CCTGGCTCTTGACCGTATGTCCCGTGTGCTCCACGGGCTTTATTTTCATAATATTCATCCAGTTTACATTGTAAATTATTCATATTGATTTTGTCTTCCTCACTCCAGTCAGATTTATGATAATCTCAGATTAGTTCCTTGGTTAGTTTAGTTTCTTCCATTTGTCTCTTTTTGTAATTTTTTGCTGAAGGAAATAGAAAATTTTCTAACAGTAAATTTGAAGAATTCCCATTTTTGTATTGCTGTCACTAAACTTTTGTCATTTTTTACATCTTGAATTATTTTACTAATACTTTTACAATATTTGTCATTCTTTAATAAGTTAGCATTGAATTTCCAGTAACCTTTGAAATTATTTTTAGTTTAATTTTTGGATATTCGCAGGTTTATGGTGCAGCGATCACTTAAAGGGCTACAAGAGATCTTGGCTTCTGTGACGTGTTCAAGTATAGAATCTGTAATTAACCAATAATCAATTCTTGATCTTGATTGTCCGTTAGGTTTAAACCAAGTATACTGTCTAATGTTAGAGTTTATGTTTCTCCAAACATCAACAAGTTTATTGGTATTCATAAAGTCACCCATGATTGGGTTTAATGTCACCTGAGATAGTTTGGAAGGGCATCTGTCCATCATTCATCTGGAGTTCAATTAAAATCACCCCCAACAACAACGTGCTCAGTGCGATAATTCAACTGCATTTTTTTATAATTGTTGTGACTTGATGTAATAACTGTTTGTTTTTTTGGTCGTTGTTGTTTCCATAAACATTAACAATGATGAACAAATTGCTGTCAATATCTAAGACACATGCTGCCCAGTGTCCAGCGTCGTCTACTTCCTGAAAAATGACCTTTCCTGGACATCTATTGAAACAAATAGCTACTCCTGCAGAACGAGTTGTGCCATGACTAAAAATGATCTTATCAGCCCATTGTTGAGTCCAAAACTTCACATCAGTTAACTCCGAGTGCGTCTCTTGAAGAAAGAAACAGTTAGCCTTTTGACCTTTGCAAAATAAAAAAACAGCCTTACGCTGAATAGAGTCTTTGAGTCCTCTTGCATTAAAAGAAGAAAATAGAATCTCAGTCTTTAAATTGAATACTGAACACATTAAGAACAATAACTGTAAAAAACAAATAAAAAATAAAAAACTTAGGTTATAGGAGGTAGAGTAAAAAACCCTGAGAGTAGAGTCCCCTTAATAGACCCTTGAAGAACAAAACAATCTCCACTGTAACAGAAAGCTTCAAGTTTCATCTAAACATCTAAACAGTGCTTGAACTTCAGCTAAAAAACTCTCTTAAATGAACCTTTAAATGAATGAACCCAAGTTCAATACAATTAACAAAGTGGTTCAATACTGCTTCATTGCTTCATTTGGCCATCACTACTCATCAGGCAATGTAACAAGCCCTGAATGGCAAGTGGGACATGAGCCAAGCAACACTAAAGGTGGAGGCAGGGAAACAGGGCATGGTGCGTTCAGGGGCCCAACCAAGAGTGAGAATTTACAGCCACTTTTACATTGAACTAATAAACCACCCGGTTACACTATACTTATATAATAGATCGAGGACTTCCGTTGGAATGGCGATCCGGACAGGCAGCTTCCTTTAAGCCGTAATGCACTAATCCCGATTTAACGGTTTAGACCTCAGTTTCTGAGCACCAAATAGGTTATAATTTTTCCTATTAATTTGTACTGATATAATCCTTCATTTTTCTTCTCAAACTTTCAAATGACATAAGAAATGAAATGGGAAAAAGCTGATACTGCAACCAAGCTAGCAGCAACCGCCAAAACGTGAATAATAGTGAATAATAATGATAATAATAAATAATAATGAATAATATAATATCTTTAATATTCATTAAAGAAATGAATAATGAATATACCCGCAAAGAAGTGCTTGTTATCTTAGCTAAGATTGCACCACATTGGGCCTCATCAATCGGCAACGCAGTGGACACCGTGCATCGTCTGGGGAAAAAAGAAGAAGGAAAACACCGCCAAATACTGATTCAGTTCAGCATGAGACACCACCGAGATGCTTTCTGGAAACTCACCAAAGATTTCAAGACGTACAAGGAGCTGCATATCTTCTTCAAACAAGATTTCTGCAAACCAGACAGAGAGGCGAGAGCTGCAGTTTGGCCCAAAATGGAACAAGCCAGAGGCGAGGGAAAGAATGTCTACTACCGAGTAGGGATGGGGCCGATCCGGTATCGGCCTCCGATACCAGCATAATTTACGTATCGGATTTTCCGATCCTCCTGCCAATATTTCTGATCCATGATGCACGTTGGCTTCAAACTATGGAATGGATTTCCTGAAAGGCGGCGTGTCTCATGAGCCCAGAGTAATAAGACCCGCCTCACATTCAAGAAATCCAGTTCATAGTTTGCAGCAGCTACAACGTGAGGACTGAGTTAGCAGCACTGTGGCTAACAGCTAACCAACTTTTCATCTAAACATGTCGCTGTGTGGAAATATTTTACACTAAACACCACAAGACAGCAACGTGCACTGTCTGCAGAGCCATAGCGCCACATTAAACCACGTTAAAGTTAGTTTTACGATGGACATTCAAGCTCCGTGGCTTCAGCGGGGCGCTGCTCTTTGCTCAACCCACAACAGACAACTCGACCCCGGCCAGCCGCGTCCAATCTGCCCCGCTCAGTCTGTCCGTCTCTGAGGAGGGACAGACTGACAGACTGCCTGCTTCGGACTGGACAAGAAGAAGACGTCGCTGAAACCACGCAGCTCTAATGTTTACAGAGAAGTTGATAAACTTCATAATTAATGACCGACCACTATCAGTTGTAGAAAACGAAGGATTTCACAGTTTGATACTTGCAGTCAAGATCTAGTTTACCCTGCAGGAGATATTTATCAGTACAACAGTAAACAATCATAAAAAACAAATGATTTGAAAATTATATTAAAAACATAAACAGCTACATTATAAAGTGATGTAAAATACTAAAAACAGGAACATGTCTGTTGGTTTATGACAAGAACTTAGCAGATGTTTGAAGACATTTAACCTTTTATTTAATTTAATTCATTTATTCATTCATTTAAAAGAAACAAAATTTAAAAAAATCATCAAAAAGAAAACTTTGAATGAAAAGAGTTCAGAAAGAAGAAAAAAATTATTATATCTGCCCCTTATTTAAAAAAATATAAAATAACTTTAAACAATCACTTAAATTAATCACTTTAATATTCACTTTATTAGGAATAAAAAGAAACATGTTTTGTGTTAGCAGAATTTAATTCTAACTTTAAAACTTATCCAACTTTAATAAAACTTACCTCAAGTTGGATTTTTGGACATGCATGCATAGATTTGTACAAATTGTACTTGAGAGGAGATTATTACAGCCTCATATAAAATCAATGATCATGATATCGGAACTGGATCGGTATCGGCTGATATTCAGATTTAGGTATCGGGATCGGATCGGAAGTAAAAGAAAAAGTGGATCGGTGCATCCCTACTACCAAGGGCACGTCAGCTACATCAGCGGTGCTCGGGTACCCCCTGACAGACTGAAGAACCAACTTTAATAATCACACACAACTGTAGCGACATAAGGTGTTAGCTTATGCTTCAAGAAGAGTAACATTCCACTAGTCATTTCTTAATGGCCTGTTGCTTAAATAGGCTAAGTAAGTAAATAAAGATGTTTTAATTTTAATTGGGCAGATTCAAAGTTCACATGTTTGATAAAACGTAAGTATATTCATGTTTTTTGATTAGAGGTCAAGTGCTCTGTTCTACGTAAATTCAGATTAAGGGAGTTAGTTTCATC